GTCATTGTTGTTTGGCGGGTCCGGGCTGGGGATTCGAACCCACCACCTTAGGTATACATGGCTGGCGCCTTAGCCGGTTGAGCTATAGGTGCTGAGCCGAACATATGGTATTTTATACACAGAAAACAAAATAGTGACTTTTTGAATGAAAATGAAAAAAATCTCTGGTCTCAAAAGCCAAGGCCACCAGGAAACACTTGCTGAGTTTCTACCTGTCACGAGGTTTTTCTGAGTTGGGCTGCCTCTGTATCAAATCATGCCAAGTGTCCCATGCTAATAGCCCTGAAGCGCTAGGCCACTCGGGGGATGAGATGTTGGGGAAGATTTATACTGGACGGGAACAAAGCAGTGTGGTACGTTTATCAGAGCATCAGGCCAACGTGGAGGTACCTTGATTCTACTCCTGACTTGCAGCTCAGTGATCTTCAACAAATGCACTCATCTCTTCCTTCCATCTGTCTGTGACTGTGACTTTATAAATTTTCCTTTCTCTGTATCGCAAAAGTATACATGCTCATTATGAAAAATTTAGCTCAGCAAAAGTAATGAATTATATTACCCTGAAATAGCCTTTGCTATTTTGATGTGAATTTATTTACTATTTAAGTTTATTATTTAAGTTTTTTCCCTTAGGAATACATATTTGGGTACGTATTTTTATGATTTGGGGTTCATACTACATATGTTAGTTTTATATGCATATTGTTTTGATACCCATTTTTCTGTCACTACTACTACATAAGTAAAAGTATTTTAGAAATTTTGCACCATATGAATGTGTTGGCTTATCAGCATATTAACGAACTACCATATTGTCATCAATTACTTTTGCGTCCTTTGGTACATAGGATCAAGACTTCAAATCTCAAAGGAACTTCGTCATTAACATGACTTGCAGATTTTGCTGGCAGCTTCCTGAAACAGATTACGAGTGTTCCAACTCCACCAGCTGCATGACAGTGTCCTGCCCTCGGCAGCGTTACACTGCCAACTGCACAGTGCGGGACCACGTCCATTGCTTGGGTGAGTCAGAGTTCGAGGAAATTTGTGAGCAAAACATCTCTAGGTTTATTGAGGGACTTTAACCAGAAATTTGAGAGTTAAATTAAATCATTTAACCAGAAACATTTATTGGCAGCTTTTTACATATGCCAAGCCTCATTAATAAAATCAATAAACTAAAAAGGAACATCCAGAAAATGTATAATTTTATTATCTTTTAAAATGTAATATTTGATAAAATATGCAAAGTATAAAACATAGTATACAGTAATTGAATTTTACCCAAATTAATAGCACAGCAGCTGTGCAGCGGCAGCTGTCCGGGTGCGTTGCCCTTATCCTGTTGCTCTGCCTTCCCTTCAGAGATCCCCACACACCTTTTATCATTTTACTTCCTTTAAACATTTTTCTGTAGTTCCATTATTCAGTAGTGCATATTTTAATAACTGCATAAAATGATGGCACTGAGACTCTGGTCTTCTGGGACTTTCTTCTTTCCTCTCCCTGTGATGGCTGTAAGATTAACTCATGCAACTTTGCTTGTTTATTTTTTTAAGCCTCTGTATAATAATCTGTTGAGAGATTGTATCACAGTTTATCCATTCTCCAGTGAATTTGGAGTATTTACCTTCTTTTGCTATTGCAGCTGCTGTTAAAGTTTCTGTCCATTCTTCTGGCTGCACATGGGCAGGAGTTTGTCTTGCATATGCTTCTAGCATGTGTTATTTTCCAGAATAGTCACGTTAATTTACATCTTCACCAGTGGCATAAGCATATAGCTGTTCTTGATAATCCACGTGTTCTCTGCTACTTGCTATCTTTGATTTTAACTTTTTCCCTTTACTTTATTGTATGTTTTGATGAACAGAACTTTAAAAAATGTAATTGGTTTAAGTTATGTCATAGTTAGCTCTTTTTTCTTGTTGCTTTAAGAAATTGTTTTCTGGCTCGGCACCTGTGGCTCAAGCAGCTAAGGCGCCAGCCACATACACCTAAGGTGGCGGGTTCAAATCCCCAGCCTGGGCCCGCCAAACAACAATGATGGTTGCAACCAAAAAATGGCCAGGCGTTGTGGTGGGCGCCTGTGGTCCCAGCTACTTGGGAGGCTGAGGCAGGAGACTCGCTTGAGCCCAGGAGTTGGAGGTTGCTGTGAGCTGTGATGCCACGGCACTCTACCCAGGGGGATAGCTTGAGGCTCTGTCTCAAAAAAAAAAAAAAAAAAAGAAATTGTTTTCTATCCCAGGTTTATAATGACAGTTTGCTACATTTTCTTTTAAAATTGTAAGTTAGACCTTTCTTACATTAGGTTTATAATCCTCCTGGACTTGGTCTTGGTCGATGGTATGAGAGAGATTCAACTTTACTTTTCTCACCACCTAGAGAGCCAATTTTCTCAACATTTCCTGCTATATGAGACCTCTATCCTATGTGAAGTTTTATATGTGCATATATGTTTAAATGAATTTATAAAATATTTAAAATCACCCATAATTTCACCAACTAGAGATAATAAGAGGCCTACAGTTCTGGTCCTTGGTTCTCTCTTCTTTTTCTGCTAGATGATTTATCTGTCTCAGCACCACACTGTCTTAGTTACTCTTAGCTTCACCATGCGTCTTCATAGCTGGTAGAGCATTTCATGTTCTTGAAGTTGTAACCATAACCTAACTGATTTAAGGATTAAATCCATGCATACAGGTGGTAAGGACTTTTCTTTCTACCATGTATGTCAGTCTGTAAAAAGAGTTGACTTTAGATTTTAAATTATGAAGCCATTAGTGACAAGTTGCTGTATGGGAATATTCTTATGTCTTATACCCTATATTTCTAAAGCATGAAGTGCTTTCTGTGGAGCATTTTCCTTTTTTTCCCTCTTAAGGTAACCGCACTTTCCCCAAAATGCTGTATTGCAATTGGACTGGAGGCTATAAGTGGTCCACTGCTCTGGCTCTAAGGTAAGCATTGTTACTAGTAAACTTAAAATGCCATTTGAATTTCTTTGGGATCAGTGGAATCTTCCAGACATTGTGCTCAACCAAGCTGATACTTCACTCAGATCCTACCCATGTTAGATAGCTACTGGGAAACACCTGTGGAGGGTTGAGGTGCTCAGACCTGTGTCTTCATGGAATTTAATGGCAGACATGAGCTTCTTTCCCAAGACGCCTGCACATTGGGTTTCCCATTCTGTATATGCCACAAATAAGTAAAATACTGTGGATTATATAAAATAGGTTTATGATGTATATTTTTAATTTTAAGTAACTTCTTATAAAAAGTAATATATGCTAAATACTGGAAACTGGGAAAACAACAAAGAAAAACATTAAAAATCACCTATAATCTCCTCATCTAGGGATAATTATAGGCCTATAATTCTTACATTAAAATGTGCTTATATTTATTAAACTTTACAACAGTTCTTTAAGAAATTATATCAGGTCTTCCTACCAAAGGGAAGGGCAATAGGACCTGGTTAAATGATCAACTGATGAAAAGGTTATGCCAGCTACAGATGAAGTCTTAGAGTTAGTGCCTGAAGCCTGCAGCCCGTCATAAGGCAGAATCTCTCTGTCTCATCGCTGTTGACATTTTGGGACCAAATAATTCTGTTTGGACCAAATAAGGCTGTTTTGTGCATAGCAGGATGTTCAGCAGCATCCTTCACCCTGCCACTTACCAGTGGCAGCCCTTCCCATCCCTGCCTGGCTGAAGTATAACTGGAAAGAAAATGAGGAGGTTATGATAGAAAATGAGATATAACAAAAATGAGATTTGGTAACTGGCCACAGTCTTTGTGAGTAATGATTCAAATTAAAATTTAACAGCTGGCTTTTTTTGAAATAAACTCTTAAACTTGGAATAATTTTAGATTTACAGAGAAATTGTAGAGACAGTAGAGAGTTCATATACCCCTAATCCACTTCCCCCTACACTGTTAATCTTACGTTACCAGGCCACAGTTAACGCCTAACTTTAAAAAATTTAAGAATAGTTTTCTTCTCAGAACTCAGCATAGTTTCATTCAAAATACTCACTGTAAATGAGATAATGCACAGCGTTTTCTTCAAAGTAGTCTGCAGTGGGAATATGGTTCAAGGCAATGGCTGAAACACAGGGTCAGCCATGTGTTGATGGTTATCGGAGGTGAGTTATGTGTACTGCCGTCTTTTATATATGTTTTGAAATTTTCTATAATAAATTATATTGATTGCTCTGAGGGGCGCCTGTAGTTCAGCGGTTAGGGTGCTGGCCACATACACCAAGGCTGGTGGGTTTGAACACAGCCTGGGCCAGCTAAAACAATAGTGACAACTGCAACAAAAAATAGCCAGGTGTTGTGGCAGGTGCCTGTAGTCTCAGCCACTTGGGAGGCAAAGGCAAGAGAATTGCTTCAGCCCAAGAGTTTGAGATTGCTTTGATGCCATGGCAGTCTACCCAGGGCAACACCTTGAGACTCTGTCTAAAACAAACAAACAAAAAAACAGTATAGCTCCAATATTGCTAGATCTTAGAATTTAAAAGAATTGAAAGCCATTCATTCCTAACGCTTAAGTTTTTAGAAATGAATGAAAAACACAGACTGAGAACATAGACATCTGAATCCAGGTCATCCAGATGGTATTTCAGCCTGAAGGCTCCAACTCCCTGCTTCTCAGTAGGACACTTTCAGTGAGACAGGGTTCCTGCTTTGCTTTATTTGACAAGCAATGAGATCTATTACTTTTTTAAAAAAGAGAATACATTATATTTTAGTACAGCTAAAAAAAATGCTAACTTTTGACACTTAAACAGTCTTGTCCATGATTAGTTAGTCTTATAAATTTGCGAAATAGTGTCACAGTGTTCCAGGTAAGAGTTATAATCAGTTTGAGACCCTCCCACAAATAGGACTTGGTGGTTATTAAACCACAGCTGGCTGCAGTTGGCGTGGGGACAGTCTGACAGGATCCAGTCTCACTTGCTTTTGCAGCATCACCCTCGGTGGATTTGGGGCAGACCGTTTCTACCTGGGCCAGTGGCGGGAAGGTCTCGGCAAGCTCTTCAGTTTTGGTGGCCTGGGAATATGGACTCTGATAGACGTCTTACTGATTGGCGTGGGCTACGTGGGCCCAGCAGATGGCTCTTTGTACATTTAGCTGTGGTATGTGCTTCAGAGAGGAGCAGTGCCTCGTCCTTTACCTGCAGGCATTGGTGTAGAGTGAGTGATGTTTGTTTTTAATGTACAGCATCTGTACTTTGCTTGCCTTGATGAAGGTAAAATAAAGATTTGAAACACTGAACTATGCTAATCTGGAATTTGTTTTTATTTGCCTGATATATTTTTTTTCTGTGAAAAAATTTACTTAAACCAGGAGAACAAATTCTGTAGCAGTTGAGAATCTATTTCGTTCCTATGACTTTAGCTTTGTATTGCTTATGTCAAACTTTATCATTTGGCTCTTTAGCCTGAATGTAATCTGCCTTGAAAAGCCATTTATGTATGATTGCAGGAAGTGGGAACTGTTTTATATTTGGCTAATTAAAGTTACCTACCTGAACATCAGTCATTTGTATGTTTTGCAGTGTAACCTGTGTGTAGTCTGGTCTGTATTTGTGACTTAGTAGTATTAAAGGTTGCAAGAATACTAAAAAATTAATAAAATTATGGGTTACTTCAATAAATGTCTCTATATGTTTATCTATATTAAAATGTAATTTTAAATAATAACTTACCTTTATTGCTAAGTAACGTGGCCTTTTTTAGGACATTACTCCATTCCAGCAAACAATTGGCTGGTTTATGGTACAGTGGAAGGGTATAAATTCTTTTTGACTCTTTATAGATCTATTATAGACTCTTCATTGGAAAGAACAATCCAAAAAGAATTTACTCCAGGTTGCTTTTGAAACATTTAAAATTTCTTAGTATTTCTGACTGCCTTTTTAAACACCTGTACATGTGACAGGCAGAAGACTTAACCAGCGTTATCAGACTTCAAAGGTATAAAATACCTTTTGGGAAATAATCTCCATAAATCTCATGGGATAAACTGTATTTTCCTCATTAGTATTACTTATAGCTTACCTGAAAGGTGAATTAAATCGCTTTGGTGATAACTTGCTGGGTAATAATGGGCTGCTTTTGAAGCACAGAATCTCTTGTGATCCTGGTATTTGGGTATAGTCAAATAACAGTTCCCGCTCTGGTCACTAGATGGGGCATCCCTGCCACATTTGCTTTCCCATTCTGTTTCCAGAAAAGGCCAGTCTTCAGTTTTTTCCTTAGGGATGCGTCATGGACCATGGGCAGCACTCAGTTCATGTGGACCTTTCTTTTTCGTATCCACAAGAGTTGTTTGTGTAGGTATTTCCTTAGGAGAGGACCTGTTCATGCAAGAAGCAGCCCTGTACTAACTATAATAAAAAATTATCTACATCTGCTTATTTAGCTCTATGTACAGAGACATTTTTGACGGTTTTGGAGTGACCATACAAAGTGGAGCCAGGGGGTCAGTGGGAAGTTAGTGGGAAGTACACACTGCTCGTGGAGGAAATGTGCCTGCCTTGGTAAGTGGCCACCTTTATGGCTTTGGAGCCTGAGTTAAATAATGAAGCTGCAGTACTTGGAAGGGGAGCGCTCAAAGAATCTGTGAAAGGAGACTTCAAGAACTTGTTCCCAAATCCTGAAGGTCTGACAAGGGGAAGCCTTTGGAACCTGAAGGATGTCAGCCTCTCGTCGTGCTTTATAGCAAGAAATCATGGAGCTGATGGCCTGAGACAGAACCAGCAGGAAATGTGAAGAGATTTTCTAATACAGTTTAGACAAATTTATGAATGATACACTTATACACAGCCCTTAATAGAAAATGTAGAGGGCGGTGCCTGGGGCTCAGTGAGTAGGGCGCCAGCCCCATATACTGAAGGTGGTGGGTTCAAACCTGGCCCTGGCCAAACCGCAACAAAAAATAGCCTGGCGTTGTGGCGGGCGCCTGTAGTCTCGGCTACTCCAGACTCTGAGGCAAGAAAATCACCTAAGCCCAAGACCTGGAGGTTGCCATGAGCTGTGATGTCACGGCACTCTATGGAGTTGAGGTGCCTTCCTGCACTGGCAGTTTAGGTGCCTGCCAGGAGATAATACACAGAAATGGACTTTGAGTAAATATTTGTCTATAGCACCGTGTTATTCTGACTGAGGAACAACTCTGGTTTATAATGCTTATAAAAAGATTTTTTTAAAGATCTTAAGCATCAAGATTTAAAGACATAAAATTATCTCCTCTACAGCACACAACTTTGTTTCCCAGTGTGTGTGTATTTATTTTATTTTATCTTATTTTTTTTTTTTTTACTACTTGGTACCTCATCAGCTAAGGAATTTGAAAATGATTTTAATTCATTGTGTAAGCAGTGAGTAGAAAAATGAGCTGTATCTGATGCAGCTTTTCAACTACAACATCAAGAAAGCTTAAAAACAAAGGCAGATTCCTTCTCTTCTGCTCTTACTCTTCTCTGTCCATATCATAACTGATGCAAGTGCCTTTTTTTTTTTTTTTAAAGAGATGGGGTCTTGCTCTGTTGCCTAGGCTGGAGTGCAGTGGTATGATCACAGCTCACTGCAACCTCGAACTCTTGGGCTCAAACGATCCATCTCAGCTTCCTGAGTAGCTGGCAATATAGCCTTATGCCTAATTTTTTTTTTTTTAATTTTTGGTAGATACATGGTCTGTCTATGTTACCGAGGCTGATCTCAATCTCCTGAGCTCAAGCTATCCTCCTGCCTTGGCCTCTCAAAGTTCTGGGGTTATAGGTGTAAGCCACCATGCCCAACCAAGAACGCACTTTGGAGTATGAAATGTAACAGGAGTGTCAGAGGGCATATGTGTTTATTATTTTTTTAATTTTATTGTGTATACTTAAAAGTGTACAGTGATGTTTTGATATACATAATATGAATACTTCGTCAAGCAAATTGACATATGCATCATCTCACCTATACCCTTTGTGTGGTAAGAACACTTAAAATCTACTCTCAGATGAACCCAGCCACCTAGCGCCATTTGATCTTTGATAAACCAAACAGAAGCATACACTTGGGAAAAGAATATTTAATAAATGATTCTGGGAGAAGAGGTTAGCCACATGTAGAAGACTGAAACTGGACCCACATTTCTCACCACTGACAAAAATTGATTCTGGATAAAAGATTTAAGACACAAAACAATAAAAACTCTAGAAGAGAGTGTGGGGAAAACACTTGAAAATATTGCTCTGGGAAAAGCAATGAGGACAGCCTCCCCACCCCCAGGAATTGCAGCAACACCAAAATAAATTAAGTGGGTTTCAATCAAGCTAAAAACCTTCTGCACAGCTAAGTGTACCACAACCAAGGCAAACAGACAGCAGTAAACCTCTCTTCTCACTGAGAACAAGCACATACTTGGATGGCTGTTGGCACACTGGCTTAAATTTTTTTGGCAAACATTTGTGTCAACATATAGGTGGAAGGCCTATATACTTGTGCCATTTTGCCTCTGAGAGTGAGCAAGAACAAAAGTCATGTTTTTCTACAATCTAGGAGACTCTGAGGTAGAACTCCCACTTTGGCCTTTGCGCTAGCTGGAGGAGTTGACATTCCACTGTGCTGAGCAGGGCTAGGGAGGCTGGGGGCATAGGGCATCATCTGCATATTTTTGGAACCTCCAGATTGTGAATTGACAAGATCAAATTACTGCCTCCTGATGGCTTAAGGCTTCAAAGAGTAAACAAACAATCAGTTCTGTCCCCCCTCCACCCTGTGGCCGTTTCCCTATCGAGAATCAGGGGCGGCGCCTGTGGCTCAAAGGAGTAGGGCGCCGGCCCCATATCCCAAAGGTGGTGGGTTCAAACCCAGCCCCTTCCAAAAAAAAAAAAAAAAAAAAAAAAAGAATGGGCCAGATAGTGTGTGTTTCCTTGATTGCTATTTTGAGCATAATGAATAACTTAGAAGAATGTGTATTACCTGTTTAGCAGACATGTGTATCACTTAATCAGTAGTCTGAAAGGAACCTAGTAAAAGTTAATTTGTTTTTTTACAATATGTCACTGACATAATGGAATGATTATTGATTAACAGTGTGTACGTGCAGGACTGGCTATTGGAACTAGTGGAGAAATAAAGAATTTTGCTACTCGCCATGGTAGTCCTCTTTGTCCTATACTATTCCAATAGCAAGCCTATACTCTGCGACACCGGTCATCCGCGACACCTGACAACAACACAAAGTGCCCTTGTCAGCAGTGCACAGAGGGAGAGTTATACATGTGATAAAGACATGGATTGGACAAAATACATGGCACTTTGGAAACAGACTGAAGTGTGTATAAAACATAGAGCGCATATGAAACTTGTCAATGTTTCCTTGCCAGGAGAGTTCGGAGAGTGTCACTGGTGTCATCAATACATGTACAGATCACAATGAAAGCTTTTGTGGACATTTGAAAACTTCATTCACAGGTAGCTCTAAGAAGCCTTACTGAAGAGAAGAAACTGCTTTTCACTCCAAGTGGGATACTGCTGCTTATAACCTGGAACAGTGGGAAACTTCTCTCCCTCAGAACTAGGCATAATTGGAGGGCCTTTGAGACATTGGGTTACATTTCCATAACAAACATTTGTGTCAATGATCCCTTATCGGGAGTTCAAAGAGAGTGTTACATGTGTCATCACTACATATATTGGCTGGAATAGATGGCACTTTGGAAAGAGACTGAAGTGTCTTTAAGGTGTAAATTTCAGAGGAAACTTCAGGGAAGAAAGCCTTTTTGGCTTTCAAAAAACGCTTGGAGGTTTCAAAACTTTGTTAGTGACTAGATTTCAGAAGCCTAACTGAAGAGAAGAAGAAATTGCATTTCACTGAGCCAAATACTGGTGGTATAATGCTGCAGCAGAGGTTAGGTCCCTCTTCTCACAGAGAAGAAGAACGTAGTTGGATGGCTGTTGGCACATCCGCTTACATTTGTTTGGTGAACATTTTTGTCAATGTTCCCTTGCTGGGAGTGTTCAGAGAGAGTAATGTATGTGATCAATACATGTATTGGATGGAATACATGGCACGTTGGAAACAGACTGAAGTGTGTATAAAAAGTAAAGTGCACATGAAACTCCTGAGAAGAAAGCTTTTGTGGAGGTTTAAAAACTACATTCACAGGTAGCTCTAAGAAGCATTACTGAAGAGAAGACTTGCTATCGCTCCAAGAGGGATACTGCTGGTTTTAAGCAGAGTTGTAATCTTGCGCAGCTGAGAGAGGGAGTTGGAGCCCACTT